CAAGCTTTCCTTTGCTTTCGTTTATGTTTTTTTTTTTCTTTTATCTAATGCATTCCTAAAGATAAACAAACCTAAAAAAAAACTTCATACAAGGAAAAACAGAATCGAGCACAAGACTATTCCATGGGTTTTGTTTAATTACTTTAATTAAACTAATCTAATCACATCTTCCCAGTTTTTCCTCCCTAAAAATCTAATTCAATTAAAGAAAATATATGAAAACAAAACAGCCATGTTGGTAATGATGCAAAGTGATAAACAGTACACATATTATCTTAAATCATCAACTTAAGTGCATTAGATAAAAAAATGAAAGGCTGCTACCAACTTTCTCAAGATCTGTTGCAAAAGGAAACAATTTAACAAGGAAACCAAAGCAATTACTGAAAAAAAAACATGACAGAACAACACCAAAAAAAAATTAACAATGCACACCTGAAAAACATGAAAAATCAAGCTTTATTTCCTTGAAGTTCTGGTTACAAGCTACTGCACTTTCTCTCAATCTCTCCAATGTTCCTTCAGGGCTTGCCAACTCTCTTCCCTGCTCCCTTGATTTTCTCCCAATTTTCCCTCAAAATTTCCTCTTCAATTCTCTTCCCCCAAAAGCCGAAGGTGCCCCTCCTTTTATACATAAATAGAGAGGACTCCAATCCTTTTTCTAATTCTAAATTCTAATCCCAATCCCCAAAATTACAGATAATAATCTAATCCTATTTGAAATTGGAATCCTAAAATTAATCTAGTCTTTGCACATCTTCCCTTTTTTAAGGCTAGATTCATACCTTTAAAATATCAGGACTCCCAATTTGAATCGACTTCGAAAATCTTTTGAGACTCTTGATAAGGACTTCAAATCCGAAAATCTCTTCTTGTGTTGTTGTGGTCTATCCAAACTTTGAATGGATTTAGAGATAAATCAAGAAGAAGTTTGTGAAATTTTGGAGATGGTCGGCAGTAAAAGGAAGACACGAGATTTTTTGGGAAGCTAGGGTTCGACAAAACCCTGGGCTTTATTTTTATCTCAACTTACAGGCAAAACGACATCGTTTTTCTATTTCTTCATCTTAGCCCTTCAAGCTTTACACTTTTTTCGAAATGGTCCACAAACTTTTACTTTTCTCACTTAGCCCCAATTAAAATTGGGTTATGACAGTTAGATCTAGATTGCGTTATCGACCCAAAAAAGATCATTAGTGACTAGGCTCAAGCCACTTGGATAGCCATAACAAACAAAAACTGGAATGCTTTACAAGCAGTCAGATTTATTGAAATAACTTTTAAAGAAATAGTTCACGATTGGTTTACTGGTTTAAATGAAGAGGAAAGAAATACTATCATAAGTGAAAATCCTACTTCTAAAGAAGTTAATGAAAACAAAGCAATTCAAGACATAATAAATAGGTTTGAATTAGCCATAAGGAGAGAATTTTTAGGTGAAAATTGGGAAGAAAATCAAGAAAAAGAAGAAGCTAGAATTGGAAGAATAGTAGTATGGAATTTGCAAAATTTAGAACTATGTAATCTTTGTGAGTTAGACCAATACATTTGCCTCTTCCAGAAATAGTATTATAAACCTTCAAATTATAAAATGACTAAAGGCCTAATGGAATTGTTCTTTGGAAAAATTCCTAATCCTTAGGGAATAAAATTGGTAGAAGCCTGTAGAATATATGTAGAAGATAAGAAAGATACTCTAGGATTAAGGATTTGGTTCGCTAAAACCAAAATTAACGAATGGTGCATAGAAACTTATAGGAAAAACAAACTAAGAAAAAGTATGAAAAAAGGACTTTGTTGCCCTAAGAATAGTGATACAATCAAATTAGGTTGTAGTTACACCAACTACAACAAGAGAAACAAAAAATTTAGAATTAAAAGAAGTAATAAAAAAAGGTTTAATAAGAACAAATTTTCTAAAAAGAAAAAGAGGTATTTCAATAAAACTAAAGCACCAAGAAAACATAAAAAGAACACTAAGAAATGCACATGCTAGTTGTGTAAAGAGGAAGGATATTATGCAAATGAAGGTCCTAAAAGATACAAAAGAGAAAGTATTAAAAACCTAAAAATTTATGAAGAAGAATTAAGTGAAGTAGATACTAACTCTATGAGTAGCAAAGAAAGTATATATGAAGTGGAAAGTTTATACACTTCTAGTAGTGATGAATCAGAATATTGAAGAGGGAGAAGCTTATTCTGAAAAATATGAAGGACATGGAGAATATAGTCAAATAACTGTATTCGATAAAAGTAAATATAAAAGAATTAGACAAAAGAGAATGGACCTTAATTTAGAAAAGGGATTCAAGTCAAATTCCTTTATAAGTAATCTTTTTAAGAGGAAAGATATAGTTAATTATGGAATATCCACAAAAGAATATAGTATCCCTATAAGAAATACAACAAGAATAGTAAATATACCTTTAATTTTCAAGGTAGAAATAGAAAGCAAGTTGTCAAAAATCAAAGAGACTGATAGATCCAAGATAGGTTTCATCCACATAGGACGAATACAAATACTTATTAAAGCTCATTTTAGGGAAGGAATAGACACCCCTATAATTAGCTTTAATAGACAATAGAATCAATGATAGAAAGGTTGTTATCCTTGGATTAGTGCAAGATAACCTTAGTTACCAAAAACTTATGTTTACAGTATATCCAAAATATGTTGTAAACATTAATGATAGAAAAATTAATAAAACTATAAGTTTAGCACATGAATTTGCTAGAGAAAACTTTATAAAAAGATGGATCAATGCCATATAGTATTTACTATATGATAAGTTATGCATTGACCAATAGTCATCAATCTAATCTTTTCAAAAATAAAGAATATTTTGAATTAGATCCTACGTTCTCTAAAATAAGACAAATTCAGAAAGCAAAATAAAATAGAACTACCCAAAGAATGGGAAATAGACATTAGTGAGAAACCATTCTTGATAAGAAAAAGAGAAAAGCTTAGACTAATGGCATATGAATTAGGAAAACTATTAGTCAAAACATAACATGAACCAAGTCATAGAAATAGTATAGACCTAGGAACTTTGCACTATCCTAAGAAAGATAAAGAGGTAATGACCAGAATAAATAGTATAAAACATGAGGTGGTGTTAGATACCTTAAAGATCCCATCTAGACATTTTAAAATAAAAGGAGATTATTATGATGGAAAGGAATGACATAACATTTCTATCCTAATAGATATAGGAGCAGGAGTAGCACATATCCATAGTGATATGATTCCGCACCTACAAAGATTTAACTTGCTAAACCATATACATATTACGACTTTAACTGTGTAGTGACAACAGTACATGAATATGCTAAAGTATCCCTTCGAATAAAAGATAAAAATAAAATTCAACATAAAATTACTATAAGCTCATGCTGAAACCAAAATGACTGCAAGTATAGAATTGATGCTAGGAAATACATTCTTAACATTAGTATAGCCCTATAACATCTAAGAACATTGTCTGAAGATTACCATAAATGGAAAAGAAGTAGTTATACCAAGATACTATGAAAACTAGTATCTATAGTGTATACATATCCACTGGAATTAAGTATGAAGAATACAAAACATAATTCTTTCATGCTTTTATAGATACAGGATCTAGGATATATTTGGCAAAAACCAATGTATTCCCAAAATATTAGTAGAAAAACACCTCTCAAACTATGAAAGGTGTAGCTATAGATGAAAGTATTATTCAATATAAAACAATAATAAAAAGAGTTACTGTCATAATTGGTGGAACTAAAGTTATGATTCCTCGAGTCTATGAAAGTAACAAACATGGGAAATTCTATTAGAAAACAGTTTCATAAGTCAATTCAAGTAGTATGTTCAAACTACATCATATGTAAAATTTTATACACCTTGTGGACATTGCCTATACACCTCCAGAATTTATAATGCTTACACTAGAGCAATATAACCATTAAATTTTCGCAGCCAACGTGGTGAGGATAATAGGAAAATTAGATCAAAAGAGATTAGAAAACTAGTGTTAGCATTATGGAATAATGAAAAAACACAAGAAGAAATAACCCTATAATCTATTTCAAAAGAATTAAGAAGTAATTATAGACAAGATCCTACAAAACTATGGGGAATCGATAAAACTTATGCTACAATCGAATTGATAGACCCAAAAACTATCATGAGAGTCAAACCAATGAGATATAGCCTTGAAGATAGAGAAGAATTTAATAAGCCAATTCAAGAGTTAATAGCCCAGAAGATTATATAGGCCTCAAAAAGTCCACATAGTAGTCCTGCCTTTATGGTAAGAAATCATAATGAATTAAAAAGAGGAAAAGCTAAAATGGTTGTCAACTATAAACAACTTAATAGCAAAACTAAATTTGATAGTTACTTTTTACCACATAAAGAAACTCTAATCAATAGCATTAGGGAAAAGAAAATGTATTCAAAGTTTGATTGCAAATCAAGATTCTAGCAAATTAAGCTAACTCCTGACAGTATCCCACTAATAGCCTTTAGTGTCCTTACAGGACACTTCGAGTGGTTAGTAATGCCTTTTGCATTAAAAAATGTGCCTCAAATTTTTCAAAAAATGATGGATAATGTATTTTCTTCCATCAAGAAATTTTGCATAGTTTATGTAGATGGCATACTAATCTTCTTTGCTCATGAGAAAGAACATTTATGTCATCTTAAGAAATTTGCATATTTATGAAAGAAACATGGAATATTACTCTCTGTAAAGAAAGCAGAGATAGGAAAAACCATAATTGAATTCTTTGGATTAATAATAGATTCCACAGGAATAGAATTACAACCTCACATTAGTGAAAAGATTTCTATGTTCCAAGATAAATTAGAATCTAAAGAACAAATTCAAAGGGTTTTAGGAAAACTCAATTATGCAGAGCAATTTATTCAAAACTTAACTCAATTAAGACATCCTTTGTAAAAGTTGCTCAGGAAAAAGGAAAATCAACAATGGAAAATTTATCACACTAATCATGTGAAAAGAATAAAAGAATATTGCAAAAACCTTCCTAGGCTACAATTGCGTAAAGAAGATGAAGAGTTAATTTTAGAATGTGATGCCTTAGATTTTTATTGGGGAGCCGCTTTGAAAAATTCTCAAGAAAAAGTTTGTAAATATTCTAGTGGTACATTTAAAGATATAGAAACCAGATATCATTCAAATCATAAAGAGTTATTGGCTATTAAAAATGTAATAAAAAAGTTCAGTTTCTTTTTATTACCAAAACATTTTACGGTTAGAACTGACAATACTCAAGTTAAGGGATTTATTTTTAATAAATTACCTTTATAACCAGAATATAAAAGGTTAAATAGATCTTTGCTCAATATGATTTTGAAATCAAACATGTCAAAGGAACTAATAATTGTCTTGTAGATTTCTTAAGCAGAGAAGGAGCTAATGGATGCAATCTTGAAACTTCAAAATAAAGGGAAAGACCTTATTCTCAAAGGTCAAGGGATATTCATTGAGGGCAATAGCCAAATAAAAGAAGGACAAGAAAAAATGATTGAAGGCCAAGAAATAATTAATGAAGGGCATAACCTTATAGATGAAGGCCAAGAAAAAAATTATTAAAGGCCATGAGTTACTAAATAAGGGATAAGATGCCTTTGAAGAAGTCAAAGAGATAGAAAAATTAATAAGTTTTGGAGTAATTACTACTATCGAAATCAGCTCTAAAGAATCTAATTAGATGGCAAAGAAAAGCTCCCAACAAGAGCTAAAAGAAAATTTTGAACAAGGTAATCTTTCAGTAGGATTACTTAGAGAAAGTTCAGAGAAGTTTGACTATTATGTCAAATACTCTCCCTCAGAAATATTAGCATCTCAAGTTGAAAAGCCAACTATTCAAAATGTCGAAAGCCATAACTTTCGGCTTGATTACTCAAGAAAGAAAAGAAAGTTACAATAATAG